ATCTTGTTTAACGCGAGCATATATTTCCTTTCAGTACGTTTGCTTTATTCAGATGTATTAATCATGCCAAGAAGTTTCATTAGATATATTTTCAGTCGATATAAACTAACGCTCGTATGTGTTGAATAAATACAAATAAACCATCAGTAAAAATAAAAGTATCCCGTTTAAAGAAAACCAGAATAATCCTTAAACTACTAACCACGTATGCAACAGACACACACACACGAGAGTTGGCACTAAATCAGTACCTACCTCTACTGATAAATTAACCTAATATGGCGTCCTTTCTTTCACGACAGTGTTGCCACAAGCCGAAAACAGATAACAGATAATTTTTACTGTAGCCATGTGGATAGTATCGGACCAATATTTCTATAAAGAAATTTAAAAAAAAAAAACGACTCAAAATAACTATCAGTTAAAGCAAGGGTAAAGAAAAGTGGGCAAAAAGACTTTATTTGATTATTGAGCTGGTTTGACTTGAGCAGCGTATAATTACAAATTATGTCCATTATCTCAAAAAGAAATTTTAGTTTCCCGTATTCTTTCATAGCGAACATCCTGTGTATGCGCGCGCGCAAGTGCGTCCATGATGGACGCTCCGAAAGTATCGCCTCTTGTTTCCACAGAAACTACAAGAGATAGCGAGCGCAGGTAACACCGTTGAATGTTCTCCCCTTATGTGCTGTGTCTCTTCAGTATATGTTCGATCATAGCTCTCCACAATTTCCTATTCTTTGTAGCTCCAAGTAATGTTTGTCTCCATATTATCTCTACCCCTTGGTATGACTATAAACTACATCAGGCAGCAAGACATCCGATCGAAGATTGGAGGTTTTGAGGAGCGTGAAACCGCCTCTTAATTGCTACTATGACCAGGCCCCACCTTGACCTGGGGTGATAGTTATTATTACGGACCCACCTATGGGCAAATAGTGAACTCTAAAAAAACATTATGGAAGTATGAAAGTACATTTTTGTAGTAAAAATGCCAGCACTATATTTCTTTTGTAAATAAATTATCAAAAATCCATATTTATAGTAAAATTACCAACGATCTAATGGTGGTTTCTCCTACAAAGAGGGACACAAGTTCCATACCTGCTGAAAGGCAAGTTCTTTACTAAGATTCCTCGACTGCGCAGATCGATAGATGTAATACACACTAAATCGAATGTCAACGTCAAATGAGAAGCATCCACTATAATAACATGTAAAGTAATATATATCTACATATATATATATATATATATATATATGGTAATTGAAAGTAAGTCCCTATTTTATGTATGATGGACTCTTCCGTCTAACTATAATTTTTACAAGAGTCTGCATGCATAAAATAAGAAGTTACTTTTCAATCACCCTGCACACACACATATATATATATATATATATATATATATATATATATATATATATATATATATTGCACAAGCATGTATGGTAGTTTTTTACTTTTTTTTTTTTTTTATTTATTTACTTACTTGATTATTTATCCCCAACTAAATTAAATGGATTGCTACACTATCATTATATTTCTCTCTCTCTCTCTCTCTCTGTATATATATATATATATATATATATATATATATTATGCAACACCCAGTTTTCAATCAGCATCTGAACGGCCTCCTTGTTTAAGTTGATGAATGCTGCCATAATCCTTGCCTTCATCTTTGGTGTTACAAGGAGTTTTGTTGGTCTCTCGCTCAACTGCACCCCACACATAATAATCAACGGGGTTGCAGACTGGACAGTTAGGTGACCATATGTAAGGGCTGATGTGGTCGCAGAAATTGTCTGACAGCCATGACTGGGTTCTCCTGCTTGTGTGGCATGGTGCAGAATCATGATACCAGATATACGGTCTTCCAGCAGCCACCCCACCTTAACCCAGGGTAGCACTACCTTCAAGGAATTTTATGTAAGCCTCGTTGTTGTGAGAAGATGAATGGATGCATAACGTCGCCATCACTAGTGATCACTACAGACACCTTCGTAATCACAATTATACTCATCCAACTCTTTCCGAATCCTCTGCACTGACCTCAGATTGACACAGAAACACTCAAAAATGTTCGTATTCAAGCTTCCGGTGTGAATGCCAAGCAGTACAGCTATACGTTTACAAAATTCTGACGGAGTGAATTACGTCATAGTGCTCTTTTTCTCACAGCCGGTGCCCAACTGACCCTACTATACTGTGCAGTTGACAAAATCAAAACAAACAATGCGCATGCGCAAAATTAAACATATAAAATGGCGACTATTTACCCATTGCACTCTCTCTCTCTCTCTCTCTCTCTCTCTATATATATATATATATATATATATATATATATATATATATATATATATATAATTAATTCATCGAGTCTGAAAGAAACCTCAACAGAAAGTACTGGACGGCCGTTTCGTCCTATATTTGGAACTCATCAGCAGTGCGCATCCACTACCGAGAATTGAAACCCTGACAGGTTGTTAAGCAAACATCATACCAACTGTTCCAATGGGCCTCGGTGACGAAGAGATTGCAAATCAGACTCAATAAAGCGCCGCTCGCTCACATATTCCGTGGTGGAACTCTTACTGAGTTCTCTGTAACCATAGGACTGTGTCCCCTGGAGCCACGACTACTCTCACCAAGCCGCTCACTCTAGAGCATTAGAAGCCGGTTCAAGCAATGATATACACAGATAGAAATTATTAGGAGGATTTGATAATTACATTTAATTAATTCATCGAGTCTAATAGAAACCTCAACAGAATACAGAAAGTACTGGACGGCCGTTTCGTCCCATATTTGGGACTCATCAGCAGTGCGTATCCACTACCGAGAATTGAAACCCTGACAGTTAGGTTATCAAGCAAACATCATACCAACTGTTCCACCGGGCCTTGGTGACGAAGAGATTGCAAGCACCGGACAGCCGTTTCGTCCCAAATATAGGATGAAACGGCTGTCCAGTGCTTTCTGCATTCTATTGAGGTTTCATTCAGACTCGATGAATTGATTAAATATAATTATCAAATCCTCCTAATAATTTCCATTTTTATATATATATATATATTGTCAAATTTCAAGTGGGCATTGACCGACCTATCGCGCAATCATCAAGCTGTCGGTCGCTGTAGTTTGTGAAAACACGAACTCATATACCACCAGGCCAGTCCAAGACGGTAAGCCAACCAAACTCACCAGGAGTTAGGTAACTTATCCGGCCAAGATCAAAACTGCCGAGAGAAAAAAAATCCACCAGAAATATCTTATGAATTGAGTTGGATCTTTTCTAATTGATATTTTTAGATCTCAGTTGAAATATCATTCCCTTTCCTGTTGTGACCTCCTGATCCAGTTTTCCTCTCTACTGTTCCCTCTTTTTTTAAATTTATTCATCGTTTTCTTGATGGTTCTTCAATGGACTTTGAAGATGTTAGCCAGAGTATGAATGTTGGCACTATTACTGAAGGCCTGAATGATCTTTTTCCTCTTACCATGGCTCATTTGGGAAGACAGTCGGACCGACACAAAACGATATTAACCTGTTCTCTTTCTAGGTGAATAACTCAAAGGGTTTTTCAATCGTCCTTTCGACAAATTGTGTCAAGATGGCTAAACGTCTTATCTGAAAACCTGGAAAAAAGAAACAATTTAGATTTTTTTTTTTTTTTTTTTTTCAGATAGTAAATATTTTGTCGGGTGGACAATTATGCTGTTACACGTTTTGGACAATTTTGTTGTCACACCCGTATATATCTATATATATATATATATAAGTCTCTGTGTGTGTGTGTGTGTAGAAAGAGAGAGAGGGGGGACAGTGAGTGAAGTGTAGATGCGAATCCGACAGATTGTGAAATGTACAAGTTGAAAAAACATTTCCATCACATATTGAAGCAGATGATCCTGCGTCATCAAAAAACAAAATTTCTTTTTCTGATAACGCAACGACATAATATGTCAAGGTACAATTTTCAAAACTGCCATATATATATATATATATATATATATATATATATATGTGTGTGTGTTCCTGTGTGTGTGTATGCGAGTGTGTCGAAATCTAAATAATTTAAAATTTCTTGCCATCTAGAAAAGCATATTATTTCTGTTTAATTACAGAAAAACCATAATTTTATTAGTGTGGCTATCTACACAAGAAGTTATTGTTGGAATATTTTTAAATGCTTATGATTTAACTATTTACACGAATTTTTGATATCTGGAAACTCTACGGTCATTACTACATATAAGTGTTTTATATCATTATACAGTGTAACCCGGATATAAGAGAAACCCGGATATAAGAGAAACCTGGATATAAGAGAGATTTTCTCTGGTCCCAAATTAGAGCCTGTGTTAATATATATAAAATAGACCAAACCCGGATATAAGAGAAACCCGGATATAAGAGACTTCTTCTCCGGTCCAGACAACTCTCTTATATCCGGGTTACACTGTAATTGCTTCAATGTTTTTGTTTAATAGATTCCTTCTCTGCGGGACGCTATTCATGACATATTGGCGCACGGGGGATAATTAAACACGTTTGGCACAACTGCGGATAATTTCAATTTAAAGAGATAGTAAATGCAGATTTAGATTTTAAAACAAAAAACAAGCATTGAACTCTTCATAAAGTTCTTTTTAGAATATGGCTTCTAAACGTAACAACATGCAAAGTAGGATTTTATTTCATCACTTTGAATCCATTACGTAAGCAGTAAATGTTTACTTACATTAATTTCCTTTTACAAACATCGACACTTTTTTATGAATTAATTTGAAAGGAGACCCCAATCTAATTCTAGATCTATTTTTGATAAGTTTTTTTTTCCTCTGATTTTATTGAACTTATCTGATGATAATTATATCCACGTGTTAAGGATAATTAAATATTTTAATTAAAAAGATAATTAACAGAAAAGAACACTGAACTGCTACGTAATATCAGTCTTCCTAGGGCAGTGAATGCTGGACAATCTCTTTAGGCTTACGGCCACATCACGTTGAAACACCAGTTCCCGTACGATCACTGATGTTAAGCAATGTTGAGCATGGCCATTATCTAAATGGGTGACCGCTTGGGAATACCAAGTGCTGTAAGCTTGGATGTGCATATGATGCAATGGATAATGACTCGGAATTGTTGATCGGAAAGCCGAGTTCCAATCCCGGTTCGATTCGTTATATTGACTTACTGGCAAATATCCTTGGAAAGTGTATGAATTCGCCTCTTCTTCCCCCTAGCTACGCGTTAATTAGTAGGTTTTGTATCACTAAACCATTATTATCGCCCCCAAAATCCTTACAATCTAAACATTTTCTGGCTTTAAATAACCTTCAACAATAATCTCGTCACAGATGATCAAGAGACTTGAAGCAGCAAGAATGTGATTCTACAGAAGGATGCTGAGAATACCATGTGAGTAACGACGAAGTTTTAGAGAAGATACAAACAAAAAGGACATTTATACTTTACAAAAGCAAGAAACAGTTGAAATTTCTAGGGCACATAATGAGGAAAGTGTGCTTGGCGAATTTGATTCTCACAGGACAGATTGAAGGTAAAAGGGACAGAAGAAAACAATGTATAACCTACCTAGAGTGTTTGAGTAAATGGATGGGGTAAAAAAGGTTTAGTGGAGATATAAAAAAAATGATTTAAGAGTTACAAACGAAAGGAAATTGTGGAGATCCATGATCGCCAACGTCCTGAATGGACACAGCACATAGAAGAATATTATGGCCTCCAGGAATAGTCACATCGACAAGAAGGCATTTTTGTTTGCTTTGTTTTTCAACAAAAATCTGGTTTGGTCGTCTCAATTGCTATCATTATTAATATTATTATCATTTATTATTATAATTATTATTATTATTTCCGAATTACTTTCATCAACCTATATTCATAAGAAACATACGTCGACTAACTCTCTCCCTCTCCATCTCTCTGACACACACACACACACACACACATATATATATAATTTAAAGAAAACCAGACAACTTTAAGGATCCATAAGACTATAATTTATTTCCCCAGAGATCTTTTTGTACTCTGGATCATCAGGTTTCACTTCCATATACATACATATATATATATATATATATATATATAAGAGCTACAAAAGGACACGAAATTGTGGAGCGCCTTGATCGCCAACGTCCTGAAAGAACACGTCACATAGGCTAAGATTATGAGGCATCCAAATTTATAAATAGCAGTTTCTACTAAATCAAAGAAATTTATTTTACAATTACAATCCTGCCTCCCATCAGCATGGCTGTTGCTGACCTCCATGACAGTGGTTCGTTGCTTCTTCACAAGCTTACCTTCTTGGCTGACATGAAGTGGAAAGATTATATTAACTCCATTACTAGAATCTTGGTTCCCTCTGTCGTGCTAGACATTTTTATTCTCCTGAATCTATCTTACATATTACGGGTAACGGGGAATCGAGGTTCGATTCCGGAGAGGGAGCATGCGAAACGGCTACTACATCCAAGGAAGGCAGCATTCGTCCATGTCTTGAATATTGCTGCCACATATGGTCCGGTTCTCCTGTTGTATATCTAGAAATACTTGATAAACTCCAAAGAAGAATCAGCAATATTACTGGTCCTGACCTGGCATCTTGGTTTCGGTCATTTTCCCACCGCTATAATGTAGCTTCCCTGTGCCTTTTCTAAAAATATTTCCAGGGTAATTGTTCGGATGAAAACTTCGCTATGGTACCTAAACTTTATGAATGTAAGTGTTATATTCGATTGGCAGCTAGATCTCATCAGTTCACAGTTAAATTGGCTATGCTAACATTTTCTTATCTCGCACTTCTCGCTTGTGGGACGCTCTTACGGCTCTATGATTTCCAGCCAGCTTTGATCTTCAAAAATTCAAATGCAATGTCAATCATTATCTACTCTCCTCTTGACTACTCTTCTATTGTTCTCACGACTTAATAATGTTCCTTTTTTCTTATTCTTTCACACTTAGTGACCCCTTGTCTTAGTGGCTTTACTGCCTTACATAGGGCGATATGATTTTAAAATATTGCATAGGTGTGCATCATAATACCACAAAAAAAAATGAAGATAAAACAAGAAAACAGGTTATTTGAAATTATTCAGTTATCCAAGAATCGATAATGGCTCTTGTAATTCTGAAAAAATAACACTTCGAATGGTAGGTAGAATTTCATCTTTTACAGTTTTCAAATAATGTCCAAAGACATTGCGTTAGATTAATGCGTGAATATTGCGAAGCTGAATTTGCTATAAACAGACTTTAGGAAAATAATATTTATATTAAGCTTTAAAGTGTTTATTTGAAAGCAAACTTTGCGAAATTCTCTCATCTGTTGAGGATTTTGTGTTTTCTTTGAATATATAGAAATATTTGAACTGGCCAATTTATCGACACTATGCTTGCAAACCCAATGCTTTTGCTGATGCCATGCAAATGAAATCAAAACACAAGCAACACAGGTGTCATTTCTCAGCAGAGTTAAGTAGAAGAATCCCTTAGACTTTTCACTTAACGAGATTCATCTTAATTCGCCATTTTGAATCGATAGAAAATACCTTCCCCTACAAGTAATGGGCGTTGGGCAAGATTTCAAGTGCATAAATACGAATTTATGAGTTTTCTTCATCATCCTCATCATCAATAATAATAATAATAATACCACCACAAATGACAAGTAAATTTTGTAAGTTTATCTTTCATCGATCGTCAATGTTTCAAGGATAGCCTAGTGATTTAAAATGTTTCAAGGATAGCCTGGTGATTTAAAATGTTTCAAGGATAGCCTGGTGATTTAAAATGTTCACTTAAAGATTTACGACAACGGCGAACTGAAGCAGCTGATGAAATTTAAAATGGTCGACCATATTAAAAAAATTAATCTGCGTTACTCTACTGTTTCATTCGTTTAACCCTTCGTCAGTATCGTGGGAGCACAGTAGCGTAGTGGATAGGGGCTCGGGTTGAGGAATTGGGCCGAGTTCGAATTCCAGTCAACTTATGGGAAAGACATGAATCCATCTCTTCTCTAACCCCCATCTATGGATAAAATAGCAGGACAAACTGGGTCTTATAGGTTTGGTTGGCCACTAGTCTAGGAGAAGGAAAACTATGAATTCAAACCAGCCTGGAGACAGCTGGGCTTCGCCGGGCTATCCTGCCAATGACTGCTACTACGGCCGCTATACATGTGGAGATTTTACGACCTTAATAGGGTTACAGATCTCATGATCTTGATAGCACTGTGTGTCAATGTCACAGTATTAGTATCATGAAGTTTTCAAATATCCTATTTAAAATATTAATAGATATATCATTTAATTCTTAATTTTCGTGTTATATACTGTCAGGGTAGGTGCAAGGTAGTTCTTGACAATTGAGAAATTAGAATGTTTATAAATGTACAATATATTGTGGCCTTGTTCGAGGCCAGAAATAAAGACACAGAGAGGAATTGAGTTAAACAAATATATTAACAGAAACAGTAATACAAATATATACAACCGAGAGTGTTACAGCAAGAATGTTCGGTCCTACTGTCAGAACTGACTGCTGGAAGCTTCCTCACCAAACGGCAGTACCTGCTCCTATTTATAGCTGGGACAGTCCATGCGTGCATGGGTAAATTACCATAACACAATACAAAATGAAAAGTTAATAAAGAGGATGTAGGAAAATCTTTTTAAAGGATCAAAAAGGGCGAAATTAAAAAACAGGCGGTCTTTATAAAATTGGTAGCGTCGAGAAATTCCCTAAAAATATAAGTAAACGTCTCCCCGCCCTGAGCCTATTGGACACTTGTGAGTATTTTCTTACGTGTTAGTTCTGCTATTTATAAGAAAATCAAATTGGAAAAAAAATTATTTTGAAAAATCAAATTAAAAAGCCAACATTGAAAAATGAATTTGGAAGTTCCAATAATTCAAACAAGCAAAACGAGGTTTCATTTTATTTTCAGTAAGCAAATAAAACTGATTGTTATTCACACAAATCTTATGGTGATTTTGTAAGCGTAACGCAAATATAACACAAAGCCGAAAGTATTGGGCACCCAGTAAGGATCGAACTCACTACTAAGTTGTAATTATTCTAAAGAAGCAAGCTTACTATGACACGACCTCGAAGTGCCCATTCACACAAATCTTATGACTAAAATCAGAAAACTCTTTGTAATTACTTGACTTAGGCATTCAGAAATCTACTTCACTAATCATGGACATCCTAAGAAAAAGATGTTTGATGTTCAAACACGCCACGTTACTGACGGGAGGTTATACTGAGAACAAAGGAAAAACACGCGGGTAAAGTGTTACCAATTTACACAATTCAGTCCGAAATCCTCAACATATCTACTGATATATATTATGTGTATGGAAAATTTTCCATAGAAAACAAGTTTATTTTCTGTTTATTCAGTGGCGAGTCATGATTGCCAATATCCTGAAGGTGCGTAGCATTTATAGATAGATAGATAGATAGAAAGAGGTTAAGATAGGTATAAATAGACCGAGATAGATAGATAGATAGATAGATAGTGTAATAATTGTGTATTTGGGCAGTAATCCTTCTTTTATACCAATTTCGTTTAAAATGAGTGACAAGATACTGCTATTACTTTCCTTGTTGATTGCCTGGTCATGTAATTTAATAATTGTGTATGACCCGGCAGCCAACATATATATATATATATATATATATATATATATAGAGAGAGAGAGATTTGGGTGGGTGTGGGCATGTATATATGTGTTTGTGTGTATGTATATGCGTATGTCTATGTATGCATATATATATATATATAAATGTGTGTGTATGTATATATATGTATATGCGTATGTTTGTATATATATATGTGTGGGGGGTGTCTGTGTGTCTGTTTATGTATATAAGTGTGCTATATATATATATATATATATATATAGATATATATATATATAGATATATATATATAATTGCTCACTGGCAACCTTTGTACACAGGCATACACACACACATAAATATATATGTGTGTGTGTACATATATACATATGTGTAATATATATATATATATAATTGCTCACTGGCAACTTTTGCACACACGC